TATAAAACTTTGACGTGCTTTATATTTAGTTATCTCGAAAATTATCTTATACCTACTAATGGTCTAATATTCCTTTGTATGGGCTCCCTTTGGCGACCGCCATGCTGAGATGTGAAGGGATGGCTGTTCCCGGAATGCGAACCACGTTGCAAGGCAGCGTCTCTCTCTCGGTCTCTGAATTTATCTCTGGAGAAATGAAAGCGTATTTATTTCTCGTGCAGAGACGCTTGAAGCCTTCAGTAGCGCTGCCAGGCAGGTTGTCCAGTTCTGGGTGTATCATCTTTCGGTACACCTCTCTCATTAAAGGGTCTTGTGATTGCTGGAACAGAAGGGCATAATCATACTTGTAACATATTGCTTTAAAATAATCAGGCATTATTAGTAAGGAGAGACCAGTCCAGAAATTTCTTCACATTTTAAACCAATCACAGAGTTTTCAATTTAAACGTTGCTCTAATATGAATATGTGAAACAACTAACATCTCTCTCAGTAGAAAATCTTGACACAGAACATTAATGAGACATAGTTTCTTAAACGTTTAGATGTTTTTTTAATGAACGGTGAATATGAACAATATAAACTATAATGCTAAATAGGCCAGTAAAGAAGTATGTGAAACCAGAAACAAAATCTATAAATATATGCAATAGATTATTTGTTAGTCTTGAAACACTGAATATCGTGCAGTGTATTGATATATAAAATCATGCATTCAAACAAAACTATTTACAATTGAAAAACACTTAGTGCGAAACGCGTTTCAACCTCAAGAGGCCATCATCAGTGGCAAACAAATTAATTGATATTAAATTATAGAATTCATACGACGATGGTTTGTTATAAAGCACAAAGGGTTGCACTTTACAAAACCATACTTTATGTGTTACCACACTGGGCGTTAATTGCAAATTTGTTAGTGTTTTAACATTCAAATACCCACGTCAGGGAACAACACTAACGATGTAAATGAAGCTAGTGATTAAACATGGAGAAGAATGAATTATGAACATTCGTGTTTATGTTCGCTTCCAAGAGTACCATTTCGTGTGCTTTCGAGAAGAGTGGTGAATGTGTCATAGGCCACAAGATAATAATATAACCAATTGATTTTTATGTTGTGAAATGTCATTGCTTACTGTGAGAGAAGAACACATTAAAAGTGTATGAAACAGTACTGAGAAAAGACAGTGGGCATAAAATGTAAAAATATGAACATCATGAATCGTAAGGAGATACTGTGTGGATGGAATTGACCCAGGGTAATACTCAGTGGAGGGCCTCCTTTGGATGTTGCTACTGCAGGGTATATTTAATTACATCAAAGTAGCTGATCTGAGCGGTCCCTGGCTGTGCCCCGAGTCTGTACTGTGTTTGCCTCAGCAGTTCTCGGAACGACGTGAATGGCAGCTCAAAGTCTTGCACTGTCATGAAAGATATGAGCGCTGCGGAGTAGGCTGCCAGCACCACTATCGTCGTCACATGCGATGTCATGACTATCACACGGCACGCCGACGAATTGGCGTTAAGGTCATGACCTGCGGTGTAAAAAATCCATTTTCACGTTAAGTACATTAACATACACAAAAGCCGTACTCAGCAGAAACATAGAGCTATCCTAGATATAGCATTCTCAAACTATTCCAAAACTCATTCGAAATGCGTCCTTCCCTTCCAGCGAGAGATCAACTTTACACACGGAAGATGACAGTATTACATGTTGTTTGACATTATTGTAGAAATAGTTCTTTCGTCTCTTCCGTGTATTGTAATGCTCAGATACAACGCGGACACTTTAATAGTCAGAAATGTACCTTGATTACAAAAATTCCCCAGTACGCGGAAAACCGATTCGTAGGTGATAAACCAGAGAGGCAAGTTAGAAGAATGTCTCTCTAGGCGCCACGTTGTTATGAGGCTTAGGGAAATGAGTGCTATGGCCAGCAACACTGTCACCCACAGGAAACCGCTGAAAGGGTCAAGGAAGTTGTTCCATTTTGTTGAAATACCCGGCTTCCTGATGTAGACGGTGGTTCTAGTGAAACAACCACACAGATGTAAAAATTACATAAAATTTCACACACAAAAACATATTTTAGAATTGAAGCCGCATAAAAGTATAAGAAGTTGTTTGTCTGTTGAAATATTACATAAGACTTTCTGACATAGACGATGAATTTAATCAACATCTGTTCATCGTAATGAATAAAACACCCAGAGTATCTTACTTTAGTTGTAAAATTGGCGAGAGGAAGTCCACAACCCTCTTTCGTGCAGGGGTAGCCACGAGGCCAGCAGTGGACACGTCTGCCTCTCCTCTAATTATTGCGCCGATCACTCCGTCCCATGTGCGATTGGGTAGCTCCACACCCCACGAGTTTTCGGGACTCTTCATATACCGGGCCCTGGGACAGAAAACTCTTGTTAGCTCTCGGGGCTCGCAGCTAGTCAACCAACTATTTAACTAGCGAACTGACACGACTAGGCAAGTATCTCGCTGGGAATGCAACTAGAAAACCAACAACTTTATAGTTAATCATCCCAATAGCTAAGAGACGAAGATAGTAAATGACTAGTCAACTGAGTAATTAGCCAATTCTACACGCTTTGAAGGATACCTTGAACAGGAGACTAGTCCGAAGCAGCGCCCTTACCTGAAATATGTTAGAACACAGAAAAATTTGATTCGAACACATGATCCCACTTTTTCAGTAATCAAAACCCACGCTTTAATTAGCTATCTGCATGACATACTTACGTTGTAAATAAATGACTAATGAACCAAGTAAATAATTAAGTAGATTATCGACTAAGTAAATAGATAGCCAACCACGTCAGTGATTATAGAACCAACTAGTGGTATTCATCTACTCGAGAAATTTTCTGCTCATACTGCAAGGAAATGAAAATTTAATCTAGAGTCTAAATCAAGGTCCTTAAGTTCCATTTTAAAATATTTTTCCTTCTACGTGTTAGTTTCGCAAATGGACTATCTGTGAATGGAATTCTGCAAAATATCAACAGAACTAAGTCAAACGTTACATAACCATTGTTTTAGTTTCTCTTTTCTTTACTTACTTAAAGCTAAGGTGCCTTTGCAGCACCGTCCACACATCTCCCAAGAAACCGCCAACAGCTAGTATCTTGTTATCCTCCATCTTTGTTATAGAGAGCAGTCTGGGCTGAGAAACAAGAAAAAGGCAGGAACTCAGAGTTTGTCATATTTTAAGAAAAATGTTTTGGTAGATACAGAGTTCTTTACGCCTAATATATTTTGTTGGACTTTACAACGCTCGCAGAAAACAATCTGCTACTGACTTCGATTGAAGGTAAAGTTGCACAGTTTTAATTTCAAGCTCCTCTGTGGAGATATATCCAACTTGCCTACGATGACAGGGCCATAGCTAGAACGTATGATAGATAGAACCAGTAGCTTGTTTTTGAATCGCCATCATGTTTGGGGTTGCTTATTCTCAATTCTTTGATTTGTCAGAAGTCAGGGAATTGAGCTGCCTAGTTCCTGGACCACTATGTCCCTGATATTCCTTATTACAGAATTTTCCTTGCAAAATTTGTAGTTACTCAGCTGTTTGTCATGTTGTATGGAAATGAAATAAAATTATAATAAAATTCTACTTAAAAATTAAAGCTGAAACAGGCGAATCTATTCTAAAACTTAACAAGTAACGTTTTTGGGAACCATTTTATTATTATAATCCCCTTACTCTGTATCATTTTTCAAATTGTCTTCCGTTAAGGTTTTCAGACTAAATCGTACCTCATTTCCCCACGTGTGCTACATGCCATCATTTTGTCCTTATTTATTTAATTACAAAAAAATGTTTCATGCAGATTACTAAACAATTGTTATAATTTTTTAATTTTCTCTCTTCATAAATTATTAAATTTTACACTTTTGCATCGGTACCTAATTAGCTGCTTGATATGTAATCAGTGTTTAGTAATTGTACAACAAACGCCAAGTTTTTTCTAGGTTCATATTTGTGGCGCCATGTTCTGTATGTGTGACGAGTGTGTGCTGACGGGTGGTATATAGTCCTTCACACGAAGTCTACTAAATGTGGAACACGATGTTATGGACGTTCATTGTTTTAAACGATGTTTCACAGTGACCACTTACAGTTTCCAGGATGACAGATCGGAGTGCAAGTCCGTGAAGGTTGTTTCTCCGTCTGTACAAATTCTGATCTCTCGGAGAAATCATGTTTTCCAGGCGGCGTGCTTGTAGGGGAAGTGAAGGACTAACTCGGTACACTTCTGCCAGTACCGCTTGGTAGTCGAATTCCTTACACACAACGAAGAACTCAGAGTCAAATGGAATGTCGATGTCAGTAAAGAACTCTTCAATCAGAGAGAAGTTTCGATTCAGGAACAGCAGCCAACTGGCACCGGATAATATTCTTCTTGGTACCTGATGCAAAAATTAGGAACTTTTGTTAGTAAAGAGAGTATACATATTTCTGTTCAATACACTTTCAAGGAAAATGAAAACTAATTTTTCTTGAATTAATATATTTAATTTAAGATATTTTCCTTGAAGATATTAACACAAATTAACGATATTAACTGAAACGTTTATCAGTTAGCACCATAACGCAGATAAATACTGTGCAAGTTCTTAGTTGTAGTCACTGAATGTGGACGAGTGACCAGTTTCAATTTTCAGTTACCTTTATATTCAGGAAAAATCTTTTCATCGTCTGGGTATATGATACGAAATGACAACCGAGACGTGCGGGGCGTGGTGAAGACCACTAACGACAATTGAAATGTACCTACCCACTTAATCTGAAGCCACTGTAATAATTTCAATTACTTTTCTTTATTTTGTGGAAAATATCGCTTCACTTAATGCCGCAGAAATTAAATTTAGCGACAAATAACCAAATATCTAGCAGAAACGGTTATGTGCAGAGTAATTTGCGTGACTTATAATTGTTTTCCGAAAGTAAGCTTAGATGTGAAGATTCATTTAAATTTATCTTAATTAGGTTTCAGCCGTACCTGCTTTAGAAATTCCTGAACTGTTGGTCCACTGGTCACAAAGACGTACAGAGGCCGGTTATTGCAATTCTTTGCCTGATTGGTGGATTTGTTTAACGTAGCAACAGACAGAGTTACAGTCGGGACGCCACTTGCAGATAGAAGAGCCTGTAGAGCCACTGTCTCGACGTCATGTTTCATATCTGATTCAGTAAAAAACATGATTGGCAGTGCTTTAATATTATGTTATTAGCTGACATGCAAGTGTCTGGTGAAAAGGAACATTAAAATGATTCATCAATTGCTAGAGTAATGAGTTTGTTAAATGCAATAGCAATTTTTTAATTTTAACACGTCAGACGATTCAAAATAATCTAT